AGTGAAAAATCTGTCTTCACAATGGAAGATTAGCCAGAGGCTGTCCCAATTTAAAGTCTATACAATGAACTGCAGGTGTTTTGATAGAGGCTAAGGTTATTTTGCATAGTCCAGGAAATAAAGACAAAGTCTCTACTTATTATAAGCCTAAATTTAGTTAAGAACATTAACTAAATAAAATGAAAAAGAAGGTTCATTTCAGCCAGCTTTTAATCAGTGCCCTGGAAAAAAGGCTCTGTCAAGACCCCAGTCATCTATTTGCACTGATAGAACTTTTTGCTTTATAAAACACAAGATTCTTTATTCTTCTCCCCTGACAAAATTCTTTATTTCCCTCCCCTGGAATTATTTGAACTCACCACATGCTTATATATACGCCCAAGAGTTCAATTACCCATTATGGACTAGCTTCCAACAAATTTGACTTCTGAATCAGTATTTGCATGAGCAAGAACCACTTACATAAATAAGGTTTCATAAAGACGAGATCCTATATTATTTTTCAGTCCCAGCTTATACATCTGCCTCATCCTTCACCACAAACCCAAGAGATATAGAAAACAAACTAACCTCTTACCTCTCATCATTCAGAAGTGGTTTTATCTGTTGTCAGCCATACTGCTCCCTCACCCTCCTACCCTGCACCAAGTAACTTTTGGCAATACCCACTGTGAACATTTGACAAGATGAACCTTGCAAGTAGCAATCCCAAAATTATTATTACACCTTGCTCATATAGAAATTGCATTAACATTTGGAAATACCGTATCTAAATTACAATTGTTATAGCCTAGTTTTGTTTAAAAAAAATACCTCAACCAAACAGAATACCTCTCTTCCCCAAGTCTGTCTGTTCAACATTAACCTCCCCACATATCCTACCTCACTGCTTCACAAAGCTTGATTTAGAGTGAGTGATTCTGAAAGAAACATAAGGGCCCATTTTTCATCTATCTACTAAAAAGCAGTCACAATGGTTTCTTGCTTTGAAAACAGAATGAACACACAGAATTCTTCAATTAACTTTTTTTCTAGTTTACGGATATGAAAGTAATATCAAAGAGTTTCATTGTACATATCCAAACTGATCCTCAGCTAGCTTGTCCAACTACATTTGTTCTAGTGGTTTAACTTTTTTGAATTCTTAGAATATGAGTCACCATCTTCTGTAGGTGTAATATTCAAAGTTTGTTTTTCAAGTAACTACCCCAAATGGTCAATAAATCAGTATGGTAATAGCGCCCAGAGTCCCCAATAAGGAGCATGACCACACATTATACAAATTCATAGTAAGATACTTTGAGGCAGTGTCTGTACTTATGCTCTAATTGGAGATAAAATGAAATGAATATGAAATAAGTCAAGGGGCAGATAGGAAGGAAAAGGGTAACAATGTGACTAAACTATTACACATCTTGGCTGCTGCACAACTTGATTATAGAAATCGCTTTAAAAACTTTTAAGTGAAGTAACTTATCTCTGACTCCCACATAACCCAGCCATTGTTGACTGGACAATCTTGTCAATGTCACAAGAGTAGGGGGATGGCTTTCTGTATCTTATGTTTAATTCAGAAAGCTGAATATCTTAATCATGCAGATATTTTAAACTTACTTCTAATAAAGGAATTTTAATTTTTATTGCCTTTAGGAAAATCATGTATGTTGTGCTTTACATATAGTAATTTTGTTTCTGGCCTAGAGTGGACAACGATTAAAAAGCTTCTCTCTATATTTCCTTCATGTATATTTGTGCTACCCTAACCGATACAGAAAATGCCTGTGTAAGAGATTATCACTATCATCTACATGAGCAGAAAGATGACAAGTTTTGAAGTTGTGTTCCTCGGTAAGTTACTTAAAATAAATTAGCCATTGAGGGAAAAACCTTATTAGAAATGCATAGAAAGCTAGCTTCCTTTTTAACACTCACTCACCTCACTCACTCAATTCTTGGAGAAAATTAGTTGGATACTTAACAAGCAATTATTTTATAATAAGATGTAAACTGATTTTATTAAAATAAACTGACTTTCTTCTATTGAATAAAAGCTAGAAGTCAAACATTACATTTGTTTCCATTTCCTAAAAGTCTAAATGCTCTTTCAAAATAGATCTGTCATTTCTCCACAGTGGCTGATCAAACCTGCTAGTGAAAAGTGTTTTGAGCAAGCAACTTGTAATACAGCCATGGTTTATTTCTGTCAGAGGCTGACTGCTGAACTGTGAAAGAAACTCATTAAAAATCACTGACTGTGATCCTGCATTGCAAGGAAAAAAAGAAAATACTTAATGAAGGGTATACGTAGCCTGAAGCCACATTCATAGTCTGCTTCTCATTTTCCTCAATTTTAGTAACCAATTAAAAAAAAGAGACACCAATTAGTCATACTGGTCATACTGGGAGATTAAACATTTTAACATTTTTATTTGATGCTAATATTATGGAAGTTTAATGAGAGAGATAAGGAATAAACACAGTCAACAAAAAAAGGAATGCTAAAATAAATAGATAAATCTTTTACCTCAATCTTAGAACAAGATTCACTGCATGTGGAACTTCAGTATATTCATCACTAACAGTAGGCAGCGACTATTAAAGAAAAAAAAAAAAGCAGCATGTAGTTACAATGGATGCCAGACTGAAATGTTAAGCAGTTTCCTTGTTACAGGTTTGACACAAGCATAAAATATTTAACATGCACTTGAGAGTCAGAGTACATTTCAGAGGGCTTTATATTAACATACTGGTTCTAAAGTGCTAGTGAAACCTATAGAACAGTCTGTTTATTTAAATAGATTACAGAATCACAAGTCAAGGAGCATAAATTAAGGCAGTAGATGGAAATTTGTACTTCATTCAGCATCAATTCCGATAATCTATTAAACAATAAATATGTATGTAGAATACGGGGCTGTTCTCCAGTTATTTCCACAGAACATTACGTTTCTAGTCATTTCTTCATCTATGACTGGAAATAAGATTTAACTGTCTACCATTATGGACCTCACCAATGTTGCCACTAGCGCTGTAACCTTTTAACCAGTATTACCCTTACTTTTTTAGTGCTTACCAGTTAAACAGTGGCCCTGCAGCTCCGGACAGGCATATTGCAAGCAGGTGCTCCAGCCCGGTCCACCAAGGCTCCCCACTTGCTGGATGCTCGTTAAGCCGTTAACCGGCTACCTGATTGAGCATGATTTTACATCTCTAGTTGCCATGTCTTTATACTGCAATCTACGTTTGTGGTTTCTCAGTCTTCGTGTTTCCCTTCCATCCCCACCACATAAGAATTTGTACTTTCCTGGAATCTCAATCGCACGCACGCACACACGAGCCACCAACCACTGTAATTATTGACAGTACCTGAGGATCCTGTATAGATAGATTCTGGATCTGTTCTGGGATATTAGTGGCATTCATGGATATCTGTTAAAAAGATGATTATGAAGCCTTTATGAAAAAAGTGATTTTAAAAAAATCCACACACCACCAAAAGAGTTTATGAATGCGTGTTTTTGGACATAGCTGCCAGTTAAGACCTTTATTAAAGAAAAAAACACATTTGAGATTCATAAAAGGAATCATTTTCAACATCAAGGTAAGAATGAGCACAACTTTAGCCACTGAAGTGAAAGAATCCTTGCTCAGCAAAAGTAAAAAAAAACAAATCTTTAGATTAACTAAATTTCCATCTATAGCAAAATTACAGCTTTTACATGTATTTCTATATCTATTATATGGCTTTCTAAGTGATAGTATTGCCCATTTCCGTGAAGACTGACAGGTACACAGCACCAGTGACATTCTCCAAGGATTTTGCTGGTCTTAGTTTGACCACCTCTGTTCCAAGACAATATCCTACCATATTTAGAGATGTACTGAGATTAAGAGAAGATTGAGCAATGTTTCTTCTACATTTCTAAATGGAAAAGTAACCATATTCCCAGCCAGGAAGGAACCCATATAACATCTCACAACTCTTGTCCTAAACCTGATTACAGATTTAAGAAAGCGGACAATTCTGCATGTCTGATGTACCAGACATATGCATGTATATTTAGAATGATGACTCTGGAATCAGAGGAACAGTCTGGTAATCCCACTTTATAATGGGTCAGAGTGGCCACTCAATAACCCCAAGGGGGACGAGCCCTTCCCTGAGCCTTGGTGGGCAGTACCTGGCCCGAACAACTCACCTGGGCGGAAGCCAGGAGGCAGGGCCAGAGATATAAAAGGCCTGCCAGAAAGGCCAGTCAACTCCCCGACAGCAAGGAAGCCAGAAGCCTCCCCAGTACAACCAAACGAGGAGCTAGATCCAGGGGAAGCTGACAACTGGCCTGGGGCACCAGGCCCACTACTGAAGGACAGCCCAGAGAGTTTGTTTACCTGGAGAGAGGACTCCAACCCACGCTGTCCCGAGGGGGGAAATGGAAATGGCCCAGGGATAGCCGACCTCGGTCTAGCAGAGGGTCAGCGGGTTGCGGTTCGGACCCCTGCTGGCCCAGCAGCAGCAGGTCAGTGTGTTTCAGCACAGATCCTTGCTGACCCAGCAGCTGTAGGCTTTGCTACTACCAGGGCCTGCGTCCCCCCTGCCACTCCACTCTTGGGTGGCAGTCTCCCACCTTGGTTGTTCCCGTTCAGCCCCCTTAATCTGCCGGACCGCCTCCTGAGCAAGGGGACCCGGCTGGAGCTGTTGCAAATGGGCTTCGAGGTACTGAGAAACTGCTATGCTGCAGCCCCGCCCTGAACCAGTACTCAGACTTATAACTGAGTCCCTGTACTGTCTAGTTGCCTTTACCCCTCCTTGACAGAGCTGGGCCAGAGGATGGTTCTTGGGGATATACTGTCAGCCCTCCTGGAACAAGGGCGGGAGCATAAAGACTCTCTAACTATAGACGGGGTACTGTGTAATGGTTTGGAGTAGCCCACCCACTGACCCCAAGGTGGACAAGCCTCCCCTTTTTTTGTGCCCCACTGGGCTACACACCTCCACTCACCGAAAGGGAGACTTAAATAGCAACTGCTGCTCAGATGATTGATGCCCAAATGATACTTTCAGACACATCAAGACTATGAACAAACTACTGCCTTGCTTATAAGGGGGATTTGGTGACATCTGGGGGCAGGAAATAATGGGCTATAGTGTATAAAGCATGACAAAGCTGGAAAACCAGGCTGGTCACTGCTAGACTTTGTGAAGCCAAAGGGAAACTACATATCCGTTTTCAGGACATAGGGCACTGGTGGGGGAAGAGTCAGAATCCACTACAGAACCAGAGCTCCTCCTAGATGTGAAGAGTTCAGATGGTGAGACTGTTTTTTTTAAATTCGCTAGTATTCTCAGAAATGGGCAAGCCACCCTTGGAATGTGTAAACCAAGGAGGAATGGCAAGCAAGCAGTTGAGTCTACTTATTCAACTTGAGCATGTCAAGTGCTGTTTTCCTCTATTAAATAACAGACAGTCAAAAAGGTATTGCCTAAAAGGACCAGGATGGTGTGAAATATCATAGGCCTTTCCCAATAGTGCTTGGTTAAAGCACTATCAATATTATTTATGGTGAATCTTTCCTGATTCCACCCATCACTCCAGATGTAATCATCCATAAAATTTATTACTTTAATAATCATTGCATATCATTCTAGTTCCTGGAAAGGAAAAAGAGTAGAGTAAGGGAAAGAAGTGTTTTACAGGGGCTACATCCAAGACAGCGGCACTATTTCAGGATACCGGAAGTCCACATCTTCAAATGTGCCCGTTATTTCAAAATATATTTCAAAACAACAGGGATACTATTCCGGCATCCTTGTAACCCTCATTCCATAAGCATTAAGGGACTTGTCAGAATAGCACTTGTATTTCGATCTAATTTCAAAATGATACGCAATTTTGACCTATGGGTGCAGTGTAGATGCACCCAGGGAGAGTGCCAACAGTCTGAGAGAAATGGAGCCTGTGCATGTAGAAATGCTAGATGGATACCAGAATTAAGCCGCCTTTGTCTACACAGTTTTGTATTCTACAAACCACAAAGCCAACTACGTAAGCCATAAGAGCACTGATTTCTTCGCTGGATTTGAGATGGGCCTCCAACAGTCAGGTGAATTTCCTGATCGTTTGGTTCTAGCTCCATTAAGCCATAACTTTTCTGAAACACAATCTTGCAAAGGCAGGCAGTCTGGATCCCTCACTGGTTGAGTTTCTCCCTGATCCAGAGGATTTCCACAACCCCCATTCCCCAATAAATGGAAGAAAGCTCTTTTTCTATTCAAGATTTTCATGACAACAGTTCAGGACAAAGCTCCCCTGCCAAAGATGAGTGACCTTAGTGCAAGAGGTAGAAAGGTCAATGAGGAAACAAGGGAAATTAATCAGAGTAGATGTGATGCCGTATGATTTAATGGATAGGGAAGCTGTGGCTCCCTTAGCTACTCCAGGAGACGCCTTACCACACGGAATGAATAAATGGGGACTCTACATGACAGATAACTATAAAGACATCAGGTTTACCATTTCATCCAGGAAATATTAAGGGAGAAATTTCCTCCTGTTACCCTTTGATTACAATTACACTAGTCATGGATGTACCGTCCCAGACACAGAGTAGGCTTTTCCACCAAAAAACTGTACAACTAGTGTAATTCTATTAGATGAAAATTAACCAACTTTTCTTTGCATCACACATGGCTAATAAAAAGCATAGCTGCCAGTCAGAAGACTGCCATCTTATCAGGTTCCCTTCCTCTTTCAATGGCATTATTTTCCTATGGAACAACATGGACTTTGAGAATGGGACAAGAAATTGTCCTTTATAAAGATAGCAAATCATTCAGAAGAAGAATATTGAGGTAGAATCCAATCTGACCCCTTAGAAAGTCAGAAGCTTAACTACAGATCTTCTGCTTTAAAATGATAAAAATCACACATATATTAGTTCAGAAGGGTGGCCTAACCATTTCACTAACAACCCAGATAAAGAAATATCTAAGTAGACTGTTTTCAGAAGTTCCAGGTTCTTGATCTACTAGCCAAGAGTCAGTTTGTCAAATCTATTAACTCAGTATATATTGGGCAGATGATACAACTCTCAAATAGTTTAAAGAAAGAAGAAAAATGTGTCAAATCTCATTTTAAACATATAATTCTATTGTGAAGGTCACTTCCAGCTCTGAAAACTGATCTAGAGAGGCAGCAAGGAGTTCACTGAACAGTACCACAAAGCATCTCAGATCTTATCAGCCGCTTCAAATGAGTTGGGCACACTACATGTTAACTAGTTCCACATCTGAGAGATTTGGGCAGAAATAATTTGCAAGATTTCTTTTGACTGTCGAAGAAGAGCACGGGGTCAGAAAAAACAGGCACAGAATTCAGAGAATCCTGTGGTACCAAAATCTTCGCAGATTATCAGCCTCTATGTAGAACTCTGCCACGCTTCAGTCAGGACTGGAGGATCCAAAGCTATAGCTGATGTTTGTATCCATTTCATACATCTAATAAATAAGCATCTAAGCTGTACTTTGACTGTAAAACCAGAAATCCCATTAGTCTATTACACATGACAGGAATGCTTCCTAGTCTCAGCATAAGAGGACAGCATTTAATATGGTATTTCTTTTGTGTTCATGGGTGACTGAATCAATCTATTCTATTGTACCACTGTACTGAATCATTATACTGGCTATGGTATGAACCACTCTAATTAGCAGTTACAGAGAGTACTGATATAGATTCTAAAAGGCTGAAAATTCTTTGGAGATGTTTCAGCTACAGAGAAACAGCTATCATTAGTGTGAGGGGAAAGGTAATAATTAGTGTGAACCAGTTTTCAAGATTCATTAAAATAGCCAAATTATTCATTTTAATTAATATTTTTCACTAGACTTCAAAGCTGCAAAGCAGGAGCAGAATCTGCTTTAATTTCATAGCCATTTATTCTGCAAAGGCACGTCTACACAGCAGGGCTAAAGCCAAAATAAGCTACGCAACTTCAGCTACGTCAATTGTGTAGCTTAAGTCAAAACAGCTTATTTCAGCTTTTGGTGCTGTCTACACAGCATGAAGTCTGAGAAAGAGAACTTTCTTTTGACTTCCCTTACTCCTCGTAAAAGGAGGGTTACAGGAGTGAAAGTAAGAAGTCCTCCAGCTTGACATTATGTCGAAATAACTGCTTGTAGTGTAGATGTAGACTGCATTTTTGTGTAGCTGTACCCCAAATTTTATAAGTTAATCACTCTCTGCCCACCTGCATAACCTTCATGCTCAACCTTTACACAAAATTAGTAAATAACTTTGTGTAAAGGTTGTAAATACTCAGCAGAAAGGTTGAAGAATCAGGCTCCTACAATTTGAACACTGGAAGCCAACATAATGTTTCATCCTATCCCAACTATCTGGGAGCAGTTAAGTAAGAAAGGACAATTTACCTCTGTATTCTCCTCTTCTTTTACTCTTCTTGACTATAAAAGAAGTAGTAAGACATTAGCTGTGTATTTTAGACAGTAGAAATACTTTTAACTAAAATAAATAAATAAATGAATAAATAAAAATAATGAAAATGCTATAGTCCTTTGCTAGAATGTCCACAAGTAGTAGAAAGCTTACCTTTTCTTGAGAAAAGGCAGCTTTGCCTTCCTCACTCTTTTCATCCATCTCATCGTCACTCCACTCCCAGTCCCCATCTTCAGTCTTATGAAGGTGGCCACTAGAGCCGGGTACTCGTCTAACCTACCAAAAGAGAGACACAATAGAAGTTAATGCATGTAATTCAAAAACCTTGCATGCATTCCAGTAACTAAGTGAACTGTTACTGTATATACCCGCAGGACTTCATTCTGTAGTTTGGTTCAGGAGTGAGGGCTTTCCATATCACCTCTCCTGTTAATACTTGGGCTTTTAAAAAATATTTAATGTTAACATGTTAACTAGTTCCACATCTGAGAGATTTGGGCAGAAATAATTTGCAAGATTATTGTATGCTATCAGGAAGGACTGCTTGAACGAATGACAATTTACCAACCTCCTTTGGAAAACCACGACTACCTGGGATCAGAACCTGCAAGCAATTACTGTACATAGTTCTCATTACTGTGAGTAGACTCTCTCTCTTAAATGGGACAGGCCATTCATGGTACTCTTCAAGGTTAAAAAGTTATACATACTACTGCTCACAGGATATGCACATTAAACATTTAGAGTTTTGAAATGTTTATGCAGAAATGTTAGTTGATGTTAAATTGCTGTAGTAAAATAAAGTTCCACCTTTCTGACTCACACAATACGATCCCTAAAAATGTTTGCTGTTGACATGGAACAGATTTAATATGGATGGCAAAAAAGCTCTTAAAGCAAAAAGCCCTGACAAGCACAAAAATGTAGTGAAAACCTATTAAACACTTCTGATCTTTAAGGTAAGTTTGCATCTTTATAAATAAGTAAAATGCATTCAGGCATGACTACAAAAACAGAAGGCATGCATGTAGCACGTTGCAGACTGGGCAAATATATGTATATTAGGCAGCCTAATGAAGCACACACTAGGAGCATCCAGCAGCTAACTCCTAAATCAAAAAAAAAATCAAATACCCTTCTGTTGCCATCTTGCTCTTTTTCAGAACCTGACATCATGCCTGTTTTCCCAGGATTCTGCTCAACCTACTTGAGCAAAACAAAACAGAATCAGACTACTCTGAACATACCTTGGAAAGCATTTACGAGACTCATGAGATTGCTACAAGCACAGCATGATAATCAGCAACCACACTGGCGTCTGATTATAATCAGTTTCCTTAATTATGTCAAATGATCAAACCAAAAAAAAAAAAAAAAAAAAAAAAAAAACCAAGAAGTAGTCCACAGTGCAGAAGTTTAAATTCCTTTGCAGTTAAAACTCAAGATGTCTTTCTGTTTTTTCTAAATGGTCTATTGTACTCCAAATATAAAATGGAAAAATTCAACTGAAAGAAAGTTATACTGCAACAGGAAAAATGGACTATGAAGAGCTGCATGATACTATCCATTTCTACCCAACAAGGAGAACTTGCCATGACTGGAGTTTTGGGGGCACAGGGGTGTCACAGCCAGAGTTGGAGTCGAGCCAAAGGTCAGAGCGAGAGGGAACAGAATCAGATAAGTAGGAACCAGGAGCAAGGCAGGGAAGCCAGGTGAGAGGACAGAGTCCAATGTAGTTGCCAGACAGGAATTCACCCAGTTATGTGAACATTTTCCTGTCTTGCTCCTTTGGATTTAAATAGATTATAGCTTAAATGGGCCTATTTAAATAAATCCTGGCCCTTCTCCAATCAGGGTCCAAAGGAAGGCTCCTAGATGTAGCTTCATGTTTCATGGTCTCTCTACTTGGTAGCAAGCTACTGAACACTCTAAAAGGATCATCTCCTATTTAGCACACTAGCCCAGGACTGCAGAGATCAATGTTCAATTCCGTCCTCTGCCACACACCAGATAAGAGCAGGGTGATGTCAGTCTACTAGGAACCATGTCCCAGGTTTGAGACACATGGATGTGTGAAAGAACGATACATAGAAAGCAGTTTTCGGTGCAGTGAGAAATGCAAGATAAGATATATTTTAAAGCTTTCTTTTAAAATACTAATAATCATTTGTAGTTATTACTTCCTTACTCAGATGCACATATTTTATCTTGAAGAGCAGAGAAGCTTAGAAGTCTGTACAACATTTTCTAGGATGTTCCAAAAAGACAGAAGTTTGATCCACGTTTGGATTTAGGTAGATTTTTATTTGTACAATTTATCAAAAGAAACCAAAGTCCAAAGCAAGGTGTGCCATTCTCTGAACTGCAATTATGCATTTGTTTATTAATCCCACCATGATGATGTTAGCAACAGTCTGTGAAGGGTAACAAAGTAGTCACTACCACGAGAGGTGCTATTCTGCAACACTGAAACAAATAGAGAAAAAAACTCCCATTCAGAAAGAATGGAGGATTTTGGGGGTTATTCTTAAAAAGAGATTAAGATTTACATGGAGGCTAACCTTACAAATCCATGCAATGGTGTTTGCTCTCCAGTTGCTGCTTACTGATAGCTGGGGAGATACATAGCTAGAAGCAGACTGCAGAGCATTTTAAAAATATTGAAGTGTGACCACTGCACTGTAACACCACACCACACATAGTAGCTATTTAGCTTGATAATGACTAACCAAACAGCTTCCAAATAACCATACAATTCTCATATTGATAGAATGCGAAAAACTGCTCTGCAAAGTATTATAAATATGATTTAGACAAACAAGACTATTATTATTCTTTAACAGCTGCACTGAAAACTCTGAAATTACCCAAGCCACAAGCTCAAATGTACTTTTCAGACATGTTTTGCATTTTCAAAGTCTATAATCCATTTGAATCTCATGAATTTACTCGGGGGGGGGCGGGAAGGAAAGGAGCAGGAGGGCCATTTGGCCCAGGCCTCAGGAGACAGATGGGCCTCAAATTTTGAAATTTTTCTACCAAGTCATTGCCACTTTTTACACCTTGCTGTTATAACAGAGACAACAAAAAATGCTAGACACACCACTATACCCACACACCCCTACCTGCAAAAATTCATTTAAATCATTATGGGACCTCGGGCCTTAGCCAATTTTTCAGTCACATCTGAGTTTTCATCTGTGTAACTGGAGGATAGAGTAGCTTCTGTGATTAGTGATTCTATGTAATGAAACCTGGTTTACAGTTTTTGCATAGTTTAGAGGTTTTGAAAGTCATAATTAATTCTGTTACTGGAAAGTATTTTGCTTGGTCTGAGGGGGAGTTTAACCTTTAAATTAGATGTTTCTCTGCGCATACGATATTTTTGTATTCCTGTTTTTTCTTATGTGTCTTCATATACAATAGCCATATTAGGCTCAGCTATAAGCTACCTCTTCATCCAGTTTGGTTCACCTTTAAAAGGCCTTTTTTTATAATAAACATTTAATTCTAGTTGTTTAATAAACTTTCTATCTAATCTGGCAATCTCCCAATGTTCATATGCATAACATACCAGTTAAGGGAATTTAACAGGAACATGTTAGACGAAATTTCGAGATTTTGAAATAAGGCTATAAGGTCCATAATAAATAACACCCCCC